CATTTTGATGGGAAATTTGATAATTTTACTAGACTAATACCCGTTGGGCTCGCCACAAGAGCACATTGAAATGTGTGAATTTCATGATTCACCTATTGATATGATATGTGAGGATTGTAATGAATTTATTTGTGTTAATTGTGCCAAAACAGATCATAGAAATCATAATTGGAACACTCTTCCCACGACAGCCTGCCAAAAGAGGAGAAGTCTTCGTAGCTTCCTGAAGAAGATCAAAGAAGACGATCTTAATAGGATTGAGGAGAAAATAGAGAAGATATCAAAACAGGAGACAGAAAATAAAGAGCTTTGTGAATCTGAAATTGGAATACTACAGAAACATTTTGATAAGAATTGCCAGGCTGATAGAAATAAAAAAACGCCAAGAAAATATACTAATCGAAAACATGACTAAAATAAATGATCGATTAAGCATTGTGAAATCTAAGTTAGATAAGAAGAGGAGAGGGATTGTCGAAGCAGTGGAATTCATTGAGAAGAACAACGGTACTATGTCTGATTACAGCTTGTTGTTTAACCACAGAGAACTGACAAAACTGTTAAATGAATTGGAGGTTTATACCACAAACTACATGTTAAAACATTCAGTTAGATACATGTGTGCTAGAGGTAAAATCAACGAAGACATACTGGAATCTTTGGTTGGAAAGACATTGACCTTGGAAAATATTGGTCTGACTCTATTAGCCTCATTTCGGCATGGATATGAAACAATTTTCTCCTTAGAGACATTCAGTGAAGACCAATGTTACATAAATGAATTAAATTCAGAATGTGTAGAAAAAGTCAATTATCACGGCGTAAAACAACACAAATTTCATATTGATCCTAATGACTTTTTGTGTGACTAAAACTGGTGATGTGTACTTCGCTGATTATAGAAACAATGCCGTCAGCTGCCTGTCACAATCAGGATCTGTCTCTACAGTCATCAATACAGATCCACTACAACCGATAGGAATCTGTCAGTCAGTGGACGGTGGGCTACTGGTCACCTTGAAAGACATGGTATCAGATTATTACTCGATAAACACACACACAGCAGACGACTGGTGAGACACATCTCCATGACAGGTGATGCCATCCATGAGTATGAGTACCAAGAGGACGGTCAGACCAGACTGTTTACATGGCCAGTCAGAATCACACAGAATAATAACAGTGATATCTGTGTTGTGGACGATACAAGTAACACTACAGGCAATCTATTACTCCTGTCCCCATGTGGACGTGTGAGGTCTGCCTACCATGGACAGAATCCATCAGAAGATTTCAATCCAACTGATGTGGCATGTGACTACCTCTGCAACATCCTTGTAACTGACTTTAACAACAAACAGATCCATCTGCTGAGTCCTGACGGGGAGTTCTTAAAGTTCTTACTAATAGAGAATGAAGTGAACCATCCACACAGATTATCACTTTACCAGTCTACACTGTGGGTGGGATATGTTGAAGGACTTGTTAAAGTATTTCATTATACAAAGTAAACACTAAAGATAACTGACCTGAGATTTCGAATGATAAAGATCGAGGGCTATTTTGATTGGCATTTGGCAGGAATCCAGGCGAACTTGAAAAGTGAACATTTTATCGACATGTCACATGAAATTTTAACATTTTCTTTATTTATCGGGTTCCTGAGAAATGGGAAAAGATTTTCTTCCCAAAAGTGGGTTATAATTTGCTAACAAATAACTTGCTAGATCAGAAATTTGGTTAAAAAAAAAAAAGGTACATTTTTAAACACGTTTTTCTAATTTTTTCCTATCTCTGTGTCTCTCTCCCTGATTTTTAAAACGTTATTTGTGTGCATTTTAGTTCAAAAAATCGAACATACATTTGCGGAAAATGGAGAGAAGACCCAGAGACGATAAAAAATGAACCTTTCTACAAAATAATCCACCTGTGTAAATGTGGTACGTCTTAGTCCTTTTAAAATCCACTGAATGTGTGGCAGTGATAGCTAAGTTATGCTGGCTACCTATTCAGAACTGAAGTTTTTTGTTCGAGCCTTGCATGGAGCATCAATCTTTATTTAATGTTAACTACCCTTATGTCATTTTCATTTTATATGTACTTTGAATTAGAAAAATTTGTGTTCAGTTGATCATAGTGCGAAATCAATTCTAATCTTCTATTTTACTTCAACTTTGATATAAATGAACACTCAATATATATGCATTTTATCTCATAGGTGTTTATTTTTTTGCGAAGTATTATTGTATTATTGTACCTTCTAATAAAAAAGGTCCTAATGGTACATTTTTACAAAGTTTTTCAAACTAAATGAAAAAATCGTATGGTTGAGTTTATAAAATCTGACCAGCTATATGGTCAGTCAACCAAATCATGGACATTTAAAAAAAATCTTGTAGATCACGAGCCAAATACGCCCACCTTCTTATGTGTTTACCAACATCATCATGCTGTTAATTCATATGTAAACTGCAGTACATGTACCTAATAGAAACTTTTTATTCGTTTTATGAATAACATTTTTACACCCTCGGTCCGAATGAGAATGGGATATACTGTATTATCACAGTGTGTCTTTCCAAATCAAATATTCCTCAATTTTTTCTCATAACTACTTATGAAAGATGCTTAAAATTTTAGTACACTCTTTTTGCTTAGCCATGTCAAATGAGGGCCTCATTTTTGTACAAATCTTATGACAACTTCTTGTTATCCTTGTTATCCTTGCGATTGACCATACCATCGTGCCACACACAGACACGTAGTCAGGGTGGGGGGGGGTGGGGGGGGGCTACCCCTTCCCCTTTTCCCAAACATATCTTCCACTATCAATGACTATTGAAATGATCATTGAAAGGCCGGTTTACCACTCCCGTCCACGCTTTTTTTCAAATAAGGGTAATGTAGTTCACATGAAAAAATGGTACTCAAAGCAGTTTAATCTTACCACGCAAAAGGACAAAGTCTCCATTTATCTGCTTGGCAATTTTTTTTTTCAGGTGTGATTTACTTTTATCTCCCTCGATCCATCCATTTTTATGAAAAAGATGCTTCATCCCATATACATGTACATTACAAATCTAATCTTCATTCAGAGTTTTCTCAGCAACTATTCAGAACTTAATATGTTTGATTTTTTTGTAAAAATCCGATTTCATCTTCCCCTTAATCTGTGCGTCAGTCCGAATTATATATCACAATGTTTGGTTAGAATCTTTTCATTGCTTTCGGTAAAAAAAAATTGATATCCTATTATCATTGTTATCACTGTAAATAATCTTTTTTTTGAGAACATTTTATTTTCACGTACAGTGCAGAGAACTGGTTTTGTTACATAAACCAGCATCAGGATCAGCATAAGTAGGATCAGGATAGAACTAGCATCAGCATCAGCATTTAAAAAACAGCATTACTTGGATCAGCATCAGCAAGCAAAGGATAGAAGTAGCATTGACCTAAGTGAAAACAGATAAAGGAAAGTCATTTAATACAAATTACAAATAAAAATTACCCCAAAAATTATTTTTAATGGCTTAAAATAGCGATGCTGTTTTTGAATTATCCACTTTCGGCAGGATAATCCTACGTCCGGTAGCATTTCTAGCATTGACCTAGTTTCAAACCAGCATCAGGATAAGGATCAAACAAGGATCAAGATAAGGATAACCAGCATCAAAATCAGCAAGCAAAGGAAGCATCAAAATCAGCAAGCATAGGAAGCACCAAAATCAGCATTGATGCTGTAACAAAATTATTTCCCTGCACTGTAATTATGCGAGACACAATGTGCTCTAGAAATTTTCCTCTTGCGTACAATAGTATTCTTTTGGATTATATATAGCAATAACCACAATCCCTGAAATTTTGTCTCGGTTATCAATAGTCAAAAACTATCTCTTGAAAATAAGGTGTCACGAACATTTGGTGATCTATACAGTATTATTAGGCAAAAGCGAGGGGACGTTAAATTTCATTTGTCTGTCAGTTTACCTGTTACTTGACAAAAACTATGACTATTGTCATAACTTTTAAATGAGAAAAGGTAGGGCTTTCATATATATTTCAAATGTACATTACCTGTGACAAGACCTTTCTACATACATGTACACCTTTATTTTTTACACCGTGACCTTGAAATAAGGCCTACATTTCAAATTGTTGGAATACATGTATAACTTTAAATTGTTCATTAATTTCCAATGAGACAAGATAGGGTTTTCATATTACATAAAAATATGGCAAAAAAATGTTATTCTACCTCTCAATTTCACGTAGAATTTTTTATGCATTTCGAACACATTTGCTCCTTTTTTCTCATGTTCTATAGATCTCCACTTGATTTGATAAATAATTTACAATTTAAAGAAAAAAATCATCATATAAACATTAAATAAAATATAGATAGAAGGAAATTGACTTGTTATTCTACAATTAGTGTTCACACAAAATAAATCTCGTATCATTTACAACAAAAACCTTTAAACATTTACACATCATTACTATGTAATGTACACAAACCATACCATATGTATCAATTTATTTTTACACCTTTGAATGTATTAATCATCAGCTCTTAAATTCAGAAATATTCGGAGCTGGTCAAAATTTGGAACTGGTCAAACGGCTGTATCGTTGAACGTTTTATAATTTTCTAATGTTAAACATGTCACGTGACAATCAGCTGATCCGAATGTCAGTGAAATCGTTTAAGCCAAACTCAGCAGATAAGCGATTTATAACTAGGTAATATGCTATAAGCAGATTTCATCAATACTCTTTCTGATTTTTAAAAAGATATCAATGTTTTAAAATATTTTTGGAATGATTTAAATATTATTCCCTATTGTAAGTTATCCAAGCTCCAATGCTCAATAATTAAATAATCAGTCCTGTTATCAAGATTATTTTGTTAATAGTATGAATTTCGCAAATAAGAAAAAGGAATTATTTTATAATAATTATATTTGTTTTTAATTCATGTAAAACATTTTCTTTTTCAGCAAGCCTCACAAAAGATTTGTGTACATCGACTGAAGAGTGTCAAGATGTATCTAAGACATGTTCATTGACAGGAAAAGTCGGTGTATGTGTATGCAAACATGGGTATATAGGATTCGGAAACAAAAGTGGCAAGTTCATTGGAAGTCTATAAATATTGGTTTTAAAACAAATGGGTTTTTTTTTTTATTTTGACTTTACTTAAACAGAAAACGTATTCAAAACCATTACTTATACAAAATCGATCTATATATCATAAAGATTTTTTTTAATCTTGTTTTCCAGGCGAATTAAAGCTGAATGAAACTTGTCAACGAAATGAGCAGTATTCCGTGACATCTGGGTCTGTTTGTCAGAACGATACCTGCGTCTGTAAGTGTGGTTATATCCAATTATATAAATTCCAAATGCTTTCTTGGTAGGTTCATATTCTTCTACTTATATATCTCTATTTATAACATAATTATATGCAATAATGATTTCAAAACTGCTCTCATAAATATAATTTGTGGATTTACTTTTTTCCCTTTAGGCAATTATCTGTGTTATTCTATTTTTAAAATTCTTCTTGGGTACATGTAAGGGAAACTGAACTTTACATTTAATAAAAGCTACAAATCGGGGGGGGGGGGGGGGGGGGGGGTAAACGTATAACATATAACATAAATTTCCTAGTTAAATATGTGTAAAATATCTATATAGTGTGATTTGATTTTGGCCTCATTCACCGAGTTTAAATGGTGTGTACATTCTCTAGGCTTGCCGAGCAAATATACACCATTTAAACTAGTTAGATAAATCCAACTACAAGTCATATATATGTAATTATAGATGTTTTATATATCTCATACGACTTTCATTTTTAACAAAACTTTGAGACTACCTCGGCTTCCACTTAATTTTTTTTTCTGGTGAGTAACAAACCATATTCAATACCAATTAAGTCCAGAACTGTACATTATTTAATCAATATTTAAAGAAATATAATTTTTTCAGTGCCCCCTGATGACAAACCTCAATCGTCTATACTCGATCATAAATGTATCCAACTGAACAGTATTATTTAGATCCAATCCTTTTTTATTTAATTTTGAAAAATTGGCAACAAAACATAGATATATCTACGTGGTTTTTGGAGACCAGGTATTCCAACAATCTATTGGAATTCCCATGGGTACAAATTGCGCTCCGTTATAAGAAGACTTATTTTTATATTCATATGCAAATTTTATGCGTGAAAAGAAAAAAAAACACTTGCTGTGGCCTTCAACTCGACATTTAGATATATCGACTACATATTGTCAATTAATAATGGTAATTTCCATTCCTTCATCGATACGATATATCCTGGTGAGCTTGAGATAAAAGATGCCACAGAGTCGGACACTTCTGTTTCATACTTGGATATTTTATTTGAAAAAGACACTAATGGTAATCGATCAACCAAGCTATATTATAAACGTGATGACTTTAACTTTTCTATCGTCAACTTCCCTTACTTATGCAGCAATATACCTTCATCACCTGCACACGGAGTATATACATCCCAGTTGATTCGATAAGCAAGAGCATGCTCTACGTATAATCAATTTTTAAAACGATGCAAATTATTGACAAGCAAGTTGATGAAATAAGACTATCAGCTGTCTCGTTTAAAGTCATCATTTCGTAAGTTCTATGATCGATACAATGATCTTGTCAGCAAATACAATTCATCATTAAGTCAAATGCTGACTAACGTTTTCCACACCCACTGTTAGTCGTTAGTCCATTATTGATACACTGAATTCACAGGATGAAAATCCACCATTCATTCGACTGAATGGTAACTGAATGCCCACGGAATGGTCACTGAAAGGTCGCTAAAAAGATCCTTTCCCGTGACCTTTCTGTGATCATTCAGTTACCATTCAGTCGACTGAATGGCACATACATTTCAGTGACCTTTCAGCCATCATTCAGTTGCATCTTTTTATTGAATAATCAGCTTATTTTTTAACTTAAAAAATCATTTCACTTTTCCCTGGTAAAATTTTATCTATTTCCGAATAAAAAATTGAGGGAAAAAATTAATGCAAGAAAAAAAATCGTGCACAACGCTGGAAGCGAACCCGGGTTTCCTGCTTGAGTGTCCGCGACCATACCAATTGAGCTACGGCTTCTTGTTGAATAATTACTGATTAAAATCAATCAATTTGTAGAAATCGATGGAACAATCGGTTCACCTGTTGTGTTGAGGAGCTGTGATGTGTATATATCTCGTATATCTTTTGTATATTCTATGTTAATTGCGCGGATTTTTGGGGCAGACTCATTACTACACATCTCCTATCGGGTTGATGACAATTATCAGCGACGGGCACCTGTTCCTGTGTCAGATATGTGAGATCGTTGTAAATTCTCTATCTACACTGTAGAAACTTAGTAGAATAAATTTAAAACAATATCATTTTAAAAGCTAAAATCTACAATATTTAGTTTTTTCTACGAAAGGCATGTATTAATGATTTATTCTATTCATGTAAAATGAATTTTAAAATGATGTCTTTCAAAAGCTAAAATATCCTGCGGTTTTGACAATTAATTAAGAAACGAAATTAATCAGGTATATAAGGGATCTTCCAGAAAAGGTGTAAATCAAATAAATTCTGTCTCATTAATCAAAATTAGATATATCAATTAAAAAATACACGGATAAGCACTATAGAATGTTAGGCGGCATTTATGTATATTTTGATTCGATCATTGGATCTTTATTCTTTATCACTTGACGCAATTTTGTTTTCTAAATGTAATTAAAAAATTAAATATCATTTTTAATAAATATTTATTTAATAAAATTATAATATTATTTAGACATATTTTTAGGGACGCGAATTTAATTACGATACAAGTAAAAAACACAATTAAGATTGAATAATAAATCTTTAGTCAAAATACATGTATTGCTTCATTGATAAGGAAAAAAAGTCTGATAATATATTAATAAGCTAGTGAAAAAATCGCTAAATTTAGACTAACATTAAATATCACTGAAAGGTGGCGGAAAGGTCACTGAAAGACGACAGAAAGGTCACTGAAAGTCACCGGAAAGGTCACTGAAAGACGACAGAAAGGTCACTGAAAGTCGACGGATAGGTCATTGAAAGACGATGGAAAGGTCACTGAAAGTTGATGGAAAGGTCACTGAAAGTTGACGGAAAGGCCACTGAAAGGTAATGGAAATATGTCCGCTGAATGGTGACTGAAAGGTATCTGAAATGAGACTAGGTCACTGAAATGTATGTGCCATTCAGTGGCTGAATGGCCACTGAAAAGTCACTGAAAGACGTCTTTCAGTTTTAACTGAAAGGTCTTGTTTCTTCCTGTGATTGACGACGGATTTTTTCCGTTATTTCCTGATAATGACAAGGAGCACACGGCGGGTGTGACCGGTCAGCATTGGATGCTCACTCCTTCATGGCACCTGATCCCACCTCTGATGTTTTGGGGTTCCATGTTTGCTATGCTCTTTTTTGTAATGTTTTATGGACTTTGAGACTGAATACTGTTCCTTATCTTCATATCCTTCATATAAAATTTTCGATGATATACTAGTTTTACATTTTGTAAAGTATTATGTGTCATTTATTTCACTTTTTCAAGAATATTGTGAAACACATCTGATAGTTAACTTTTTGACATAAATTCCAGTAAATAACTTTGAAGGCATGACATTTGGAAATCTTTTTGGTGGACTCGTTCTAAACATAATTCTAACTGCTATAGCAATTACTATCTTCCATAATGCACGACAGAAGAAAACTAACACGTACTGATGAAGAGTATTAAACATTTTAAATGTCTTTTGTTCTTTTGGAGTTAGTTGTTTACCTCTATAACGATATATTAAAGGTTTGATAAATGAAATCTTTATACCTGTATACTGTAGATTCCTATATATACTCGTGAGTTAATTATCTCGTATTTTCGCGAGAAGCATCACTGGATATATTAAATTTCTCGGCTTTAATTATTCATGGTTTTAATATTTATGTAAAATCTCTTTACCAACTGTCTATTCGTATATAATTATTCTCAGGATTTAACGACGAATAGCCATTCGCCATAATTATTACCTGCGAGAAATATAGGGAATCTACGGTTACATGTAGTAATTCACAATATGGAAAGAAGGAGTAAATGGACATTTATGCCTCTGTTCAATCAATGTTATCAATATTTATTAACTATATTTTAAACTAAAAATTGATATAGAGAAACTCCAGCAATGACATTGTTTAACAACACAATTTACGGGGCCAACACATGTACAAATGTTGTTTATAATAATCCGCCCATGCATTTGACCAATGAGATTACTGAGGTAAGATACATACATGAATCTTTTATTTCAAAACCACATTTGTTTATTTCAGATTTTACATAGTTTTTAAGCCGAAGCTAAGTAATTTTGATAAAACATGAATGAAAACCGTTTTTGTTTTTCGAAGGATTGTCGTATCTTCAATGAAGAAAAAAGTTTAAAGTACAGTTTAAACTTACCTAGAGTTTTCCAACGGCTGTAATTTACTTGAGATGCTTAAAAAAAGATTATGCATATATATATATATATATATATATATATATATATATATATATATATATATATATATATATATATATATATATATATATATATATATATATATATTCAAAAAAAATATTTTTCCTTGGTATAGGGATAAAATAAAATCCAAATTCAAATGACAAACTCGAACTTTTATCTAAAGCGCTTTCGCCCCATGCGGGCTCATTAGTAGATCTACTGATGAGCCCGCATGGGGCGAAAGCGCTTTAGATAAAAGTTTGAGTTTGTCATTTGAATTATATATATATATATACAGTACTGACCAGACCCAACCTGACACAAAGCAGTCCCAGAGCAGTCCCGGGGACTGCTTTCTGGGACTGTTAAAGCAGTCCCGCAGCGGTCCCAGAGCAGTCCCGCAGCGGTCCCAGAGCAGTCCCACAGCAGTCCCAGAGCGGTCCCAGCAGTCCCAGCGGTCCCAGAAAGCAGTCCCAGTGGGCGGGGTTTATTAATTTAATGGGCGGGGCTAACTCAGAAATGAGATCTCCAATAAACAATGGAACTATAAAAGGCAGCTGAATTTTTGTTTAGCAGTATGCCAGGAATCCTTACAATGCGAAGGCCATTTACATGTATGGGCAGTACCGCATAGATTTGAAACAGTTTGAAATAATATTTATTGAAGGAAGAAAGCTTACACACCTACATAAATGAATTACACTGAAATTGAATATTTACAATTATCTTGGGTTTTTTTGTGATTGATACTGGCTCCCTTATTTATTTTTTATACAGAAAATTAAAATTGAATTAATTATATTTCACAAGAATTAGTTTTAAATAGGTCTAATCATTATAGATCATGGCCGATTTCAATACTATCGGGATACTCTAAAGGCATTTTTTTATTAGGGCTTTTGAAAAATTCATTGCTAACTTTGCCAAGTAATATTTTGCAGTATTGATTATTCTTTACTGACATTTTAACTTAAAAATTATTGTTTTATTTGTAAATTGTGTTAGTGACCAGTATAGGATCATAAGATTACATGTATGTTCAACATTAATTAATCTTGAAAGAAATTTATACGCATTTCATTAATCTTTTTTTTTTTTGCATTACAATTTTTACATAGATTGAAATTAGGGTCATTGTTAATTGAGCAGCATGTTCAATGATGTGTAACACTGATACGTGTACCCAAATAACATGCATGATTGATTTTCTGCCCAAAGGCGATTGAAACCGCGGGTGTTTATACCATTTTATTTATACAAATTATCGGCCAGCTGGTAAACAAAAGCAAAACAAAAAAGAAATAAATCACAATTCCCGGTATTTTTAACTGCTAATTTATTTATTTTTTTTATTTTACTCTTTTAATAACTTATTTATAAATTAAAAACTAATTCATCTGTAAATTCCCGTATAATTGTTCTCATTGTTTATGTTAAGGTAGAATGGTGCCATAATTTTATTTCATGTCATAAAATAAATTGTTAGATTTTTATTTTCGGGTTACATGGAATACTCTTTTAGCGTGGTACTTGTAAAAGGTGTTGCCTTTTCAATTAAAATATCTTATATCTAAATGTAATGATTTTTTTAAACAGTGCCAAATGCAATTTTTGAGTATTTAATTTTAGATTTAATAATAAAATAAATCTACATGTAGTTAATTTTTCTCATGAGTCTGAAGTTTTATACATTTTAGAAATAAAAATCTCCTCCTGACTTCCTTATTGAACAACATTATTTTTAAAAATATTCTATATTACATTTGTCTAAATATACAGTCCCTTAAACTATAAATTAACTATAATACATGTAATCTCAAGTTATTTAAAGATTATAAGAAATCCTTGCTTATTAAACAGTTTAAACTCCTCTCTGTTGCAAGTAAACAAAACAACAGGGAGCCTGCAAATTCAGAATACACAAGGGGGCGGAGCTATCTTGTCACTCAGAACCTTTGTCACACATGAGTGAACAAAGCAGTCCCAGAAAGCAGTCCCAGGGGCAGCTGGGACTGCTGGGACTGCTTTTCATAGCAGTCCCAGAGCAGTCCCATAGCGGTCCCAGAGCAGTCCCACAGCGGTCCCAGAGCAGTCCCACAGCAGTCCCAGAGCGGTCCCGAAGCAGTCCCGGGGACTGCTTTCTGGGACTGCTTTGGTGTCAGGTTGGGTCTGGTCGGTACTGTATATATATATATATATATATATATATATATATATATATATATATATATATATATATATCCAATGAAAAAAAGTCAGAAATCACAAATCTCGAAAAATCATTTTTACTGTTAGCGCTTTCTGCCTAATGGCTCTTCAGACAGTTAAAAGTTAAATATAAAATTGCTTAGTAACGTTCATAAGCACGACGTCAAGTATTGTCCATTGTGACGTCATAATAACGTTAAAAGGTAGCATTATAATTCGCACCGCTACAATCACTAAAATAAACCAAAAAACATGTAGAAAATTAACTAAGTTAAAACTGAAGTAATTATTTTCTGTTAAGTTTTGGGTTAAATAGTTTAATGAAGTAGTCCTCCTTTGCTACTATGGATATTTCACAGTCACTGTGCATTTTATAAAATGGAAATAATTTAAATTTCCCTTCTCCACAGGTAGCAAAGTGCTCACTGCACGGCGTATTCCTTATGCTAGGATCCCGAATTTGCTGTTTATGGACTCGCACTCGTGCGTTCAGTTTGCCGGTTTGTCCTATGTAGTTTTCATCACAGGTTGGACAGGTTATGCAGTAAATAACATTTTCTGATTTACAGGTCATGTTGGCGTTTGGTGTTAATTCTTTACCACATTTTAAAGTTTTTTCGCTTCCCTCTTCCAGATATTCACATGTTCCACAACGTGGGTCACGGCACATTTTGAAGTTAAAACCAGCAATTTTTACGGTCTACCAAAAATTCACAAATCCAGGGAAATCCAGGAAAATATCAAAAGATGTGAAAATACATATATAAAAATTCCGAAACCCTCGGATTTAAAACTCCGTCCCATAATAGCAGGACCATCCTCATGTACACAAAGACTGAGCAATCTACTTGATTTGATTCTCAAACCATTGTGCAAAAAAGTACCCAGTTTCATCCGTGATGATTTGGATTTCCTTAATTACATTCCAGAGGAAGTACAACAAAATACGCTTCTTGTAAGTTTTGATGTAACCAGTCTTTACACCAACATCCCACATTACTTGGGACTTGAAGCTGTCAAATTTTGGATGGAAAAATATCCAACAGAAACGAATGAAAGATTCTCTAAAGAATTTATACTTGAAGCCCTTCAAGTAGTTTTAGAAAATAACCATTTTCATTTTGATGAGCAATTTTACCTCCAAATCAAGGGCACAGCTATGGGTACCAAAGTGGCCCCAACTTATGCCACTCTAGTTATGGGTTACTTGGAAGAAAAGCTTTATAATAAACTTCCGGAAATATTTGACGAAACTTTTGTACAATACATTCGCCAAAACTGGAAAAGGTACCTTGATGATATTTTTATTTTTTGGAATAAAACTGAAGATGATTTAGAAAAATTCCATACGGTAATAAATCAATTACAGGAATCAATTCAATTCACTATGGAGATGAGTGACAGACAACTCCCAATTTTGGACCTCCTTCTAATTAAGGATGATACCAAAATTATTACAGACCTGTACTGCAAAAAAACAGATTCGCACCAATATTTGGATTTCTATTCATGTCACCCATCACATACTAAGCGTAATATTCCATACAACATGGCAAGACGCATATGCACAATAGTAACCGATACAACTTTACGCTCGAAAAGGTTAGAGGAATTTAAATCATATCTCCAAAAACAACATTATCCGGAGAATCTTATCAATGCCGGAATTGAAAAAGCAAAAAACATTCCGACTTCTGTACAACGAAACACTCGCCGCAAGGATGATAGTGAAAAAAGCTACATCCCTTTTGTTGTGACGCACAATCCACGCAACCACAATATTTTAAGATCAGCCAGGAGATTTTTTCCCATTTTAGAACAATCTCAGAATCTAAAAGACATTATCAAGGAGTCTCAAATTATCAATAGCAGAAGACAGACACCCAATCTGAAGAAAATCCTAACAAGAGCAAGATTTGCAACAAACAATGTCAAAGTCATCAGGAAGTGCCGTGACCCACGTTGTGGAACATGTGAATATCTGGAAGAGGGAAGCGAAAAAACTTTAAAATGTG